ATTTCACCAATGAAGATCTGTTTGAAATGAGTGATTTTGTTAGTTTGTGAAGGCGTCTAATAACAATATGGATGTGGAATATAACTATAAAAACAATACCATCAGATACATTGATGAAATGTGGATGTACAAGCTCCTCCTCCTCCTCCATCGGTTCAACAACCTATCAACCAAGAGGAACCAACAAATCAACAAATGTTTGACTACATGATCTACATGAACACCTCAATGAACAATCAGTTTGCCTATCTTTACTCTCAAATGAACATTCCACCCTACCAATTTCCTCACTACCAAGAATTTGAAGATCCAGATAATATGAACCAAGACTAGTTTAGTTTACCTTGTCCTTTCATTATGCTTTTTGTTCTATGTTTTATTTATTATTTTCATTATGTACTAACACTTAATTATGCATTTTAAGTCATCATAAGTTTTAAGTTATGTATGATGTTTGATTATCTTTCATGTGTTATGTTTAATTTTTTAAATTGTAATGAATGTGTTTTATCCTTAAAATTATTATCTTTCATATATTGTCCTTTTGCCTATCTTTCCCTTCTTTTTGATCATGCTAAAAGAGGGAGAAAGGTGTATGCGTGTACACTTGTGTTGCTTTTTCTCTTATCTCTTTCCCAGGTACATTATAACTCTTATCCATAGAAATTCAACCTTAAAAAGATTCATACATTAAGGGGGAGTTATCGAACATAGGGGGAGTTTCTTTATTTTTGTAAAGCAAACACAACCATCATCATGAATTATTTTGTCATCATCATAAAGGGGGAAAATGCGAAGTTAAGCCTTCAACGAAGATGATTTTGATGAAGGCAATCCATAATGTGAAGAAAATGATCAAATGCTAAAGAATTGAAGATTCTACTCAAATGACTCTATGATGGATGATTGAATAAGATGGTAGATATGGTCTTTCATATTTATTGTTAACATTAAGTGCTCAAACCATCTAAAATCAATCCACGACACCTCATAAAAGTTCATGACTTTGCATATTGTACTTAGAATTTTTTTTTGCAAAATCTTTAAAATGAAAAACCATTTTTTAAGCAAGACAATCGATTGCATGAGAGCATCAATCGATTGTCATCAGGAAAATTTGTAAATTTTTTAAGACTAATAATCGATTGCATGGGTTGCACAATCGATTGTTACTAGTTTAAAATTTAACATTTCCAAATGTTTTGAAGGATCAATCGATTGGTCATCCCTCTCGATTGATTGACACTGGTAAATTTCAGAAAAATACTTTTACACATTACAACTTTTCATGTCACCTACTCTTTGCTCTTTTCCATTTAAATCACACCTTATCATATTTTTTAAGAGTTATGTCTTGGTTCAAAAGGTCTATCTTGCCATATAAATAAAAAGTGTTTTCTCTGATTAAAACTCACCACTCTCAAAATTATTTCTTGATTATTTCACTACATCTATCAATTTTCATTCTTCAATAACTGTGCATTATTTTTCACATTCAAACAAAGTGATAGTTCTTGAGCACTCAAAGTTATATATTGTGATCTACCATATTTTAAAAGTGAAGAAATTCTACTGATAGGATTTATATTATCCTATTGCATTAAAACTTATCATTACCAAATATCAGTAAACTCAGATATCTGTGCCTCTAACATGTTGTCTAACATTGTTAGAAACAAGAAGTTTGGAAAAAGAAAGTGTGTTTCTTTTTTTGTGTTGTAAAATCACAAGGTGGTAAGCCTTGGTGGTTAAGTTAGAAGCTTGTGTATAGAAGGTATGTTTAGCCCTGTACGAAGTTATAACAATATTGAAATCTCTTAGAATGTGTAAGAGGACCGGACTTACTCTCAAAGTGTGAAGAGAACTAGTATAATTACCTGTGTTTTTTACTTTCTGTAATTTACTGCTTTCATTACCTAATTATGAACTAGAAATAAAGAAACACTCAACTCTAAAAACTAGCAAAATTTTAAAGTACATGATTTCACCACCCTCTAAGGTGCACTTAATACTTACAACTCGAAAGTGTCATGCTAGGTTTAGATTCCCAAGAGGCTCTATGCGCAGCAACTGACAGCGACAAAACAATCTGCTACTGATGATAAGTAGACCACTGGTTTGGATTATCATTTTTACTTTATTTTAACTTTGTTCTTGATTCATGATTGCTTCACACGCGCGCACACAGACACACACACACACACACACACGCGCGTGCACACACATACACACACAAACACACACGAGCATGCACGTGCACACACACATACGCACACTCGCTCACACTTACAAACTTACACACAACACACACACGCTCATGTGCGCTGCACACACCCACACACACACACCCACACACACACGCACACGCACACACACGCATGCACACGCGCGCGCGCACACACATATAACACTTTTATGTTATTTGATAAGTCCATGGTTTAATTTATAAAAAAAATATTATGATAGTATATATATAACACGGTCTATTACATTGATGTATTTCTTAGAAAAAGTCAAAATTTACTGTTTTAGGTGAATACAAAAATGTATATCTGTAATCTGCTATGAAGATGCATCTCCGGATCCATTTACGTCAAAATGGGTGTGTCTCAACTAGAAACACATGGGGTGCGTATAGGATGAATACATAAGTGCATTTTCGAATCAATTTATGTCAAAATGAGTTTGTTTCAGTTAAAAATGCATGACGTACGTATATGGTAAATACAAAAGTGCATCTCCAAATTATTTTTCAGGCAAAAGGAGAAGTGTGACTCATTTACACATATATTTGATATAAAACGAGTGTGTTCGAAAATACATTTTCGATTTTTCTTAGGGTATTTCTCCACTACTTAGGGTGGGAAAAGCAATCCCCTAAAATTGCCCAAAGGTTTCTAAGTTTTTAAAGTTGCGCCTAACTGTTAACGGCCTAAACTTAACAACCTACCTGGTTTCAATCTAAACGGCGTCGTTAACACACCCTCACCCGTTCATTCCCCTTCGCAAATGTTGTCATTGAAAATGATTGCAGCTATACACAACAGAGTGTAAAAATTTCCCAGTCACAAAAAATTGCCAACTCTCATTTTCTCTTTCTTCCATTTTTTCACTCCATTTCTCTGCACTTCAAGGTACACGTGTACATCAAAACTCTCCGATTTATTTTTCGCATTTGATTTTAATTCTTGATTTTAATTTTTAATTCTTATCCCAAACTTAAAAACTATGTAATTTTTTGTTGTTGTATTTTTTCTATTTGCTTAGCTTGCTTGAAATCTGTGTGATAATTAGGAGGCTAGGAATGGTAAAGTTTAATTTTTTTCAAGAAAGAAAAAGAATTGATTTGATTTTTAATTGAGTTATTTAATACTTATCTTTTTAGGTTAGTGATGTGTTTAAGTTAGTTTTGGAATTGTGATGAAATACTATTTGATTTGTATGATGTTTGAAAGAATATGTAATTTCATAATGCTAAGGACTCTAGTTAGTTTGGTACTTGTGAGTAGAAGTGAATTAAGATTTTTCACAAGGTAAAATAATGGTTTGTATTGTTATTATTATGTTGGAAGAATTGTTGAAGAAAGTGATAGGGATTGAATTTTAATAATTTTGATAGGGCTGTTTCTTAGACCTAATTTGAGATTTTTCTTCATGGGTATTCGATTTAATCAAGGTTTCAAATAATGGTCGCGGTTGCATAAAGGCTTTTGTGATGGTACATGTGTTGCAATACTGATTGCGGTCGTCGCGGTGTCAATTAACCATAATTTATTTTTCATCGCTAAAGCGATGAATAACGAGATCTGTATCGGCACCTTCCGATACTGTTTTGTCGCGACCGTTTTTGCGGCCGCGTAAAGGCTTTCGTGATGGTACAGGTGTTGCGATACTGATTGCGGTCGTCGCAGTGTGAATTAACCACAATTTCTTTTTCATCACTAAAATGGTGAATAACGGGATTGGTGTCAGCACCTTCCGATACCGTTTTGTCGCGGCTGTTTCTGCGGTCGTGACGGTACAAATGTTGCGATATTGATTGTGGTCGTCGTGGTCGGAATTAACCACAAATTATTTTTCATCGCTAAAACGGTGAATAACGGGATCGGTATCGGCACCTTTTGATACTGTTTTTGTGGTAACAGACCGTTTTTTAAAACCTTGGTTTTAACAAAGTTTAGTTTAAGATAAATATAAACAGTTTTTGATTTAATATTTGGTTGGTTGTTAAGAATTATGTATCACTAGAATTATGATAACTTGTTGCATTTTGGGAGATTCTCCATCCAAAAGTAGAGTAATATTATAGGTTTAGAAATTGTATGTGATTGGTAGAATTTATGGAATCATAAAGAATGTTTCATTTTTGTGAGAGGCAAAGGTGATTGTAGAAGCATAAAATTGAATTTGACATGTCTCATGTTCTCAAATAGAATTGTTTTTGTGAATGAATTTGAAGTTACAATTTGGAACTTTTGCCTCTAAACGTTATTTTTAGCTTGAAATTTACTGTTCATTTCGCTTTTACGTAAATGTATCTAAACATAAATCATTTTCATTCAACTTACTTTTAACCAAAATCAGTTTTACATGATCTAATTATATAAATCGATTTTCGACACCTTAGTTCCCTCTCAATACTTGCTTGACTAAAAACAACAATATAGATTTTACTTGGGAATAATTATGCAATGTTGCATTGTGTACTGCTTTGTTGTGTCCAGAATTTGTGATAAATAAGGTATGCTTGCTATCCATGATAATTCTTCAGATTGATATCTGAGTAGTCCACTTCTATTTAACTTGTATCATGTTATATGGTTGACTTTAATTTGTGTGGCACTGCAAATTTTCTCAGGGACATTGTACATTTGAGTAATTTAATCCTGATTGCAGAAGACCTTTGACGGGAGGACATATAAGTGGTTTTTTGGAACTTAAATTTTTAACTGAGTTCCTTGCGTCATAAAGAAACTTTTTGCAAGTCAAATTGTTCTCAGATGTCAGAAACTGACATGGCAGTTATTAATCCTGAGGTATGGTATCTTTGTGTATAAGCGATTATATGTTTTTTGTTTTTTAAACTATCTAATTTAGCCCAGCTGCTAAATTTTGTTTAAGTTGTAATTCTTGATGGTAATGTTGACTTACCCTTTTGTCCTTTAATTATAAACAATTTATTCTATTTCTCCTGATTTGTTTACAATAATATTTGATACATTATTGGATTTACACTACATAGAATAATTTTAACAGTTCTGTTTTTCCGTGAACTCAAGCATTTGTGCCTGTTTAAAGGTTTGGTGTCACTTGTTTCTCCGACAAAGTTGAATTCCAATCCCCCTTTAAAAAATCAGAGATTTTGAAACAGTGGATGTTTGTATTCTATGTTTTATGTGTTTTTCTTAACATTTGAAACTTGTCACAGGGTTGTATATGGTTGGGTACTTATCTCGTCTGGATTCTGGAGTGACAATTTTTACTTTTAAACTTACCTATTACTGAGACTGACACTACAGTGGTATTTGCTTGTATTTTTAGATGATGAAGCCCTATGTGTGGCTTCAAACTTCCGATGATTCAATCCAACAAGTGGAACAAGAGATTGCGATGTTTTGTCCATTTATATGTCAAGAAATAATACAAAAAAGCATGGGATCTTCCAAGAATTGTGCAATATGTCTTCCTCAACAAGTCAGTCCTGCCATGTTGAGCTTAATTCTCGATTATTGTCGATTTCATCAAGTACTAGGCCGCTCAAACAAGGTTCTTCAATGCTCTTATCTTATGGATTATATTCTAGACAAGTTAACCCAAGTCTGAACAAGGAATACTACAGATTATTTGACACGGTGATTATTCTTTTATATAGGAACGGAAGTCTTATGATGAGAAATTCGTCAGGATAGACACAGAGCGGCTCTGTGAGTTGACGTCTGCTGCGGATAGCCTTCAGTTAAAGCCATTGGTTGATCTCACTAGTCGTGCACTAGCTCGAATAATCGAAGGAAGATCACCGGAGGAGATACGCGACATATTTCATTTGCCTGATGATCTTACAGAGGTGTCTGGTGCTTGTGAGAACTCTGTATTCCAATTATGTTTTCTTGGATTTTCAATTTTCATTTCTCACACATTCTTATGATCCAGGAAGAGAAATTGGAGCCCCTGAGAAACATAACTGACGATCCAAGGATCAGGCTTTTGAATCGCTTGTATGCCAAGAAGAGGAAAGAACTTAAAGAGCGTGAAAGGATAAAGGTACCACATGATTTTTTTTCCAGCACATTTTAAATATTGTCCTGTCAAGTTTAATCCTTACTTCTCAATTAGATAATTTATGTTTCAACGAATGCAAATGAGAGCCGCGAAGATCAATGTTGTCAATGGTGTATGGCGCCAACATGGCGACGCGGCGTCCATAGTTTTATGGCAGATGGCATGATGTCACCATGTTGAACCAACACAACACTAGCCTGGCAATGTTCATGTAGGACACTCTTTTAAAACCGAAATCAAACAAAAAACACACAACAATAAACAAAAAAGTGAGCACTCATCAGCTCTTCATGGAGCTTAAACTGTTAATATTACAGCCTCTAGGCATGATCTTAGACTTAATTTTCTGATCTAATTGATGTTTTTTGGCACCGGCCTAGTCAAAAGACCTGTTTACCTCTTAAAATTTCAAGTCCAGTGGTTTAAGCATAGGTGAGTAATTCTATGTTATTTTAAAATATTGTTGGTATACAAAGAGGCGCCACAAACCATTGACAGCAGAGGTCCAGATGCATCCTTGCACTATTTTACATGCTCTAAGTTTTAGATAAGTTTTAAAGTTGATTCTTTTCATGTTTCAGAATGTTGAAGTTGAAGAAGAGCATGTAGATGAACGATCAGTTGATGACCTTTTATCTTTCATTAATGGAAATGACGGAGGTACTTTGAGCATTTCACTTCTCATCTTTGTGTACTTGATGTTTTCATTATGTTGGTTGTTGTTAAATTAGAGGAGTGTTAGGAACACTCTCTCTTCAACACACCCTCACTTATTGAATGAATCACATGTGAGTTCCACTATTTTATGTGGGATACATTTCAAATGTGTGGGACCGCACGTGTTTCACCTAATAAGAGAGTGAGTGTGAGTGTTGAAAAGAAAGTGTGCTTAGCACTTCACATTAAATTAAATGTGTAAGATCTCATTCCTAATTTGTGAGCTTTCTATTCTATGTTACTCGTTGGTCATATGAAATCTCTTCTTAATGTAAAACAATACTTAATGTTCCTATTGACAACATTCCTCCCAATGTCGGTGGTCTATTGCTAGAAAGGACATATTTTAAAACTAAGAGGATTAATAGAAGCATTTTTAGATGATAAATTGTTCACCAGGGGTAGTGTTGATTTAGATTATTTGATATGTTTATTTATAGCCAGGTGATTATAATTAAATTTACAACTAGATCTCTTGATTATAGAAATAAAATGAACAAACACAGCCGTAGAGGTATCTATTTACTTGAAAAACTATAATTTAAATCTAATACGTAACTTAACACTCTCCCTCTAGCTAATCCTTACCAAACTTTAAGTCTGTTGCAATATACCCTTTAAAAGAGAATATCAAATCAAACCAAACCAACCAATATTAGGACAACAATGAACATCCAAACAAAGCTGCAATGATATTGGGTCAGATGTTGTCCTTTGCTTGAATCTTCCAACTTAAGTGATTAGTGCCAGTGAATCAACATTGACGATAGTTGGACAACAGGACTACCAAAAAAGAAAAAAATTAACTTAAGTGTGGCATGTCATCTATGACGAGTGCCAACGACTCAAACTTGACTTTGGTTAGGCGAAGGGACTGCTATATACTATTGACAGTGTGCTGAGACCAATAGCTGGGGAGCCTTCCATTATAGACAAAACTGAAAAAGGCAAAAAGCACACTGACAGGGGTGACTTGGACAGATGATCAACGAACTTGGAGCTGACTGTAAGACTTAACATATGACAACATACCTGGCATAGGTATTGATATTGAACAACCTCAAATTAAAAGATACTCAAAACTTAACCAGAGAGGAACACTAAAAAACACAATAAATAAGCGGTGTGCAAATGGGTACAACAGACGAAAAATATTGTGACCAAGGACCTAAAATATTGAAGCAACAGACACTGGGATTCAGTCACAGCGGCCAAAGACCAAAACACTGCAGAAAAGCCACTTTGATGCCTTCACAACCTTAAAAAACCTTTGAAACAACAAAGAAATCTCATGAATACAACACTTTACACGTGGGACCCACAGAATAGAAGTGGGACCCAACTGAACCGGGAAGGGGAGTCTAACAGAATCAACAGCAATCTCGTCAGAGTTCTGCAGGGAGGCGCCGCCCTTCGCCCGCCGGCAGGTTTGACGGCAGCAGAAATGTGTGTGACGGTAGGTGAGATAGCGATTAACAGAGGTGCTCCAGAGACTGGCCGATTTAACTCTGGGAAATCTGATGGTGGAGTTGCCGTGACACGTAGGGGTGCGTAAGTTGGACATTTAACGGGACAGCTACATGCGGGAGTAAGACGACTAGGGTTTTGTGACCAGACTGAAACCCACAACCCAAACTGAAAATAAACTAGGGTTAGTTTTGACAGCAGCTGACTCCAAAGACAAGAAACTAGGATTTTGAACCATTTACCGGGACAGCCATGGCGGATGACGGTCCATGGCAGAGAGGCAAAATCCTACCATATCGGCCGCTTTGCGGCACTGTTATTGCGGATTATGGAGGAAAAACCCGCAATAGCGGCCGGTATTTACCATTGCGGCGAGCCCAAAAACCGCCATGTAAGTCCATCATAGCGGCCATGGCGGGGCAATTTGATAACCCAGGACCAGACTGAAAAATAAACTTGGTTAGTCTTGACGGCGGCTAACTCCAAAGAAAAAAAAATTAGGATTTTGAGAACTCCACATTAGAATAGTGGCGAGAAGGTTCAAGGAGGATCAGACAAAGCTCTAAATACTAGTATGTTGATTTAGATTATTTGAATTGTTTGAGAGAAATTACTCTCATACTACTTGTTATTTTTAGCCAAATGATTACAATCAAATCTACAACTCAGACCAAGCTCTAGATACTATGCTGATTTAGATTATCTGAATTGTTCGAGAGAAATTACTCTAGTACTTGTTAATTTTTAACCAAATGATACAATCAAATCTAAACTAAATCCCTTGATTATAGCGATAAAACCAACAAATATAATCATAGAGATATTCTCTCAACCAACTATAATTTAAATCTAATACATATCTTAATTAGTCTACACAATTTAATGACAGACTGGGCAATGGCGGTGCAAACACCTATCTCCTTTTCTATATGACAAGTATTTCACTATTCTTTAACTTAATTACAGATAAATTGCTCTAAGTAATATATTTAGCATGCCTAATTTTACGTTCCTTTTGGCCTGACTTTATTTACAGCTGAACTTCGGATTATCAGGGTCAAATTCAGAGGGTTCATATCATTGTAATTAGTAAACAAAGAAAATTATTCACAAACTGGATTAAACTCGATTTATAACATAACATTTATTTCTGTGGTGCCAAAACTCATTAGTGATGCGCTAGTGCCCTTATATTGTCTCATCATTTGGGATAAGAAATTTGGTCTGATTTCTGGGATGCGCTAATTGCATTTTGAAATTATTGAGATTCTTTCGGGTCCGAACTGTCCGAGAGCTATAGCCTTATATTTTTCTTCAGCTTCCATTTTGACTTCCTAACTGGAGATGAAGAATTTTGTCACAGATCCGAAGGGGATTAAAACTTCTAAAAATAAAAAGAAGAATCGAAGGAAAAAAGACCAACAGAAGAATTCTTCTTTGAAGGAAGCATCTGTACCAGATAAGAAGGTTGTTGTAAATGTTCTGTTCTGCTGTTTTATATATACACTGTTTAATCATTTGGTACAATGTCAACAATATAGTCTATGGTCTACCACTGAAATATTAACTGTATGTATATTGCCTTTCTTCCTTCTCGCAGGAGGAGGTAAACGGTCATAATGTCAGACACCATAGTTCGGAAGCTGATAGACCGTGTGAGACCTCGAATTCACACCATACAGACGATGATCTTATGGTTGAGTTTGATGATGATGATACAGATGATGAGATTGATCCGGTATTAAAGGCAAAAATTGACAGGTGGGTCTATTTCTGATTCATGACACTATCCATTACCTTGCATGTTGTTTGCAGGATGGTTACACCAAGTGCTTCCTTGATGATGATCGCCAAAATTTATTTTGATGTTATTTTGTGATGCAGGGAAGTGGAAGATTTTGCCCGCCGATTAAATTCCAACTGGCCAGAAAGAATAAAAGACTTTTTGTCGTCGACACAAGAAAGGAAGACAAAGCTTTTAACCACCACCAATGGGAATGGTTGTCTAAGGCGACATGCATGTATGCTTCTTCCATGCATTTCAATACTTTACCTTAACCATGTGCTTTCTACCTGAATTTCAAAAACCATTTGTGTTAAAACATCTTTATGATATTATGTTAAATTCTAACAATAACTTATTGGACATCTTTTTCCATGTTCAGGACTGGACTTTCAGAATGAGAATGAATCTTCCCCAGATGGCCATTGGCTTCAAAATTTTGAGATTCTGGCAAGCACAAGAAAATTGTTGCATGTCAGTTGTTTTTATTTTTGTTTTAGGGTAATTATAATGAGTAACCTTAGGATGCTTATTAAGGATTAAAAATAAATAATAAAAAACAAAACTCCTGAGGTTTTTTTCTTCCGGATATTGTGAAATATTTTGTTTTTGTTATTCTTTAAACAAGTGTCCTAGGAATCTTTTGTTTTATTTTTTTGCAGTTCATTTTTATGTATATGGAATTCTGTTTTTTCCTTTCCCCTTTCCTGCATATTTGAACAATAAATAGGAGTTTCAATGTAAAAGTTGGAGTTGTGATCATGAATGTGTGGATTTTATTTTATGTTTTGGTATTTATTTGTGAGAATGAGTTGAACTCGATATAGAAAACTTACTATAATCATCACAATAATATTAAATGGAGTTATGACTCAACAATAGAAAATAGCAGCTTCTCAATGTAAGCTAGCCTTTTATTTAGACTTGGTTTTTGAGAAGACTCATTCAAGCAAACCCATCAACCAGAATATGGATTCTCTTGAATAATCTTCTGACTTCAATCTGCTATCTTATGAAAAAAATTAATGTTACAGCACACAGTAGAACCATTTGGCTGGAATTTTATTACAATAATGTTACATATGTTAACACAATCTATCTCCTAATATAAACTAGTAATAGCTAAGATACAATTATGTTGGAAATCAATGGTGGTTAATTGACTGGTTGGTTAACTTCTTGAATATGAGGACAAGGCCTTTCTGGTTCTCCTCTTGTCCATAAAATCTTCAGATCACCTCTCTTCTTTCCCAATGACAAAAAAGTTCCTGCAATTACACAACATTGTTTCAGAAAATAAACCAGTTTTCATGCGATGCAATTACTAAATGTAGGTTATGTCCATTTATGAGTATGATGGTTATACTTACCAAGTGTAAATGGGACTATATAAAGCAAAGCTGGCTGGCCATGTCCATCCATCAAGTTTAAAGCCACATATGTGACGAGAAGACCTGCAGATTAAAGTTCAATCATGAAATACGGCGTCTTTCCATATCTAAATTTCCGTTGTTATTTCAAGTTTTTCTAGCAGACACCTCCATAACCGAAGATAGAAATATAAGTCAACAATAAACATTCACATTCTGTTATGAAAGTTAACCCGAGATCAAGCATATCATATTCATACCTAAACCATAAGCAGTCATAGCCCACACAAAGTATCCGGCTCGAAGGTTTTTCTTTGCCAACCAATCGTATCTGTATAATTAAGTTTGTGAGTAGTTAACATGATACAATACAATTATTTTCTCTATGTACCTAATTTGAGGGAGAGATGAATTGCATAATCAATAGATGACCAACCTTAGTGAAAATGCTACTAGAAGTCCCGGTAAGATTATGTCCCCGAAACCGATGATGCTATAACCACCCCAAGGATCAAACAAACGCGGTAACTTGAGAAGCATGGGAATACCATCTTCTCCACTCTTATCACCTCGAGCTACCTGAACGGAGAAAATGCAGTACAATTTTAAGGGGAAGGTGACATCGAGTTTATGAGACCAAAATCAAGCATTGTAGAGAACAATACAGAAGGGAGAGTTTTGTTCAAAACACTTACCACTATCATCACACTCTCGTGGAACCACCATTTAGAGACGAACACCCATAAGATGTCATATAGGAAAGCACAACTTAGAAGAACAGTCCCAACCTGATGATACACAGAAAGAACTACATGTCGGTGTCTTTCGTATAAAAATTCATTAGTATACAAAAAGCTATCTCTACTCTTCATTATTCTGTCGGTAACTTTCATAAATGGCACGAGGCGACTTAAGATGTGAATTTAGAATTCATACCTTGAGATTTGGAATGCGAACAATTTGAAGAACTGTAATTATCAACGCGATACCCTGATTAACAATCATAAGAAATATAGAAAACATTGTCAAAAGTCGAGGAATGTTTTATATCTAAAAGATAAAGTGACATTGATAAAACTATTCTTACAAGAATATCTTGACCAATCCACGCATATGACGCATGGCGTTTAACTGCCCAAACAACCGCAAACACTATGCAGAAGGGAGTAATAGCAAGTGTCAGATATGGAACAGCTCCAAAGAACGGTATCTTCACATATGTTTGTGCAGGATGTTGAAACCATCTGAAACTATATTAGTTTTTCTGTTACTTTCCACACGGACACAACAATATAATAGGAAAAACTAAGTACTCTAGAACAACGAACTTCAACGATAAATGACTTACCATGACAATAGAGCCACCAAACAAGTTTGCAGACCCTGAAAGCATATGAAAATACAAAGATCAGTGTGTGAGGAATGAGTGCTAGTCGACACGAACAAAGCCGAGACGAGAATGACTCACCTCTATCCCACCAATGCAAAATAAAACCACTAGAACTTCAACAAACCAGAATGACATTAATTTGTACAGCATAACCAAGAAACAAGAAGCAACCACAACGAATAAAATCGCTGCTGTAGTACTGATTTCCACGTAACCACGAGAACCAACACTTTCTGCAACATATTCTTCTGAGGCATCCTGCAAGCTCAAAAGTTATTCGTATATCAGTAACCGAATTAATGAATTCATAGATATGAGCAGAAATATTCCTTTACAGAGAAAACTCGGTAACCTTTAAAAGCTTGTCTTGCTCAATAACAGCTTCTCTTGCCGTCCAAGCAGACCAATAAGAAGCACATAAAATGGTACCGACAGCCATGAGCCATAGAAACACTTCCGCAACATCAACCAACGGACGCAGTGGAGAGTATAACTGTATGGCAACTTAAGTGCAAGAAGTGTACATGCAATAGCACAAAGACTATATAAGACTACATATATCAGACATCGAAACATAGTAATTACAACATAACCGACACTTCCATGAAAATCGGGCATACCTATGGATTTATTCTGTATGTGTCTTTCCAAGTTTAATCCAGCATCTTGTGGAAGCATAACAGCAGGAATTCCAATATCAACATCAGTTTCATTTACCTCACAAACCATCTTGAAAAGTTCTGTACGATTGTTTATAATGAGAATGGCCGAAGCACCGGCTTCATCAGCTATATTTGCCTTGGTTGTGAAGCTACATTTTCCTCGGTGCACCAATATGATCTCACTGGTGAGCTAACAATAGTGAAAAAACGAAACAAATAAATCAGGTAAAGTTGCATTTGGTAAGTTCGATGGTTTAAAAGTGAACTCAAAACACCTTATTCTTAGGCTTGCTACAACAATCGGGAGGATCAGCCATGACAACTCTGGTATGAGTGGCATGTTTTTCTTTTGATTCTAATGTAGGACCAAATCTTGCACCGACACCAACATACTCATCGTTTTCCACACCATCGATCCAAGTTGGAACTTTGACCTAACAAAAGAGAATAAACCATTCGAAACTGTTAAGAAAAACACCAAACGATAGGTATATTTGGCTATATGCAAAAACCACATCCCATTGAAGTTTACTTCAAAATCAAGAAACCATATACCAATACATTTGAAGATCTTTGCTTATATAGGATAAGGGTTTATGCATAAACTATCTCTTTACTATAAAAAATTATTTTCATATAGCCTATGAGTTGTGTTTATAAACTACTATAATAAGCTGAAAACAATTTAATAACAAGTCAGAATCTGTTTTTTTAAAACTGTTCCAAATAGTCTCATAAATGCTTATATTATTAGTAAGATAAATTCAAAGGGAATCCAAATACTCTTACAAAAGCTCAAATCAAATACCTAAAAAACTTCTAAATTAATTAATCCCACCCAACTCTCCAATTTTCATTTCCTAAAAAAAAAAAAAGATTTTTTTTATTATGTTTTCCAAATCTCTTCACTGTTCCAACAGATTCTAAGCAAGCAAGAATCAAAAGCAAGATCAAAACAACAAAAAGTTAACATTTTTTTTAAGAACCAGTTATGCAATTGATCTGAAGAGTAAAGAATTTAGTACCAGAACAAAGTTGTTCTCACAGCCAGGCCTTGTTGGAGCAACATCATCATGATGAACTATATCACCAGCCAAAACCAAAGTCAGACCAAACAAGAACACATAAGCAACACTATATACACCTCCCAATGAAACCATGCTAGTAACTGAGATAACTGAGATTCTTGAATGGAAAATTGAGGAAATAATCAAAGGGTATCTCAGAAAGCAAAAAAGAGTATTTTTTTAATTTGTTTGGAGCAAGTGGGAAGAAGGGAGTGGCGGTGGAGAGAGAGATTGGGAGCAGGATTTAAGATTTATTGTTAATTTGGTTTTCCTAAGTTTTTGTTTTGTTGTTTGTGGTAACTTTTGGAGCTAAAAATGTATTTGCAGTGTAATGCTGATAGTGGTCACTTGGTTGTGTCGGCCACGTGTTTTTTATCTGTACTGTGGATATGTGACTCCTAGGAAAGGATTCAGTAACTTTGAAGATTGATACATGATTTCAGATACTAAGTTTTAGTAGCAGGTTCTGTGTTTTATGACATTTTTCCTATGATCCGAAAGAATACAACAACAAACAAACATTAATAATGTTTTATTTAAGACATACTTCATCATATCGGTAATCTCAAGATTTTTTAAAATAATTTTTCTTATATTCTTTTTAGTTTTTATTTTTAATTTAGTTGTTAAACTTTTCAGATTCTAGTATACTCGTCTTATTATAAAATTTATAAGTCTTTCTCTATATATATTAAAATCATCTAAATCTATTTTCTATAATCTTTCCTATTTTCACCTTTAAGTTATAAACACTTATTCTTTTGTTGAACTTATATTTTATATACTTTGTTTTACTTCTGTTAAACGAAAATCATTTGTTTCTAAAACTTATCTCTAAGTCTTCAAGGGTATCTGAAAAAAGTTAAGTCTTCAAGGGTATCTGAAAAAAGTTAACATTATAACATTTAAGAGAGTATGAAATTGAGGTTAAGTTTTGCAAGTATGAGTTGAATTGTATTTGAGTGTGATTCAAAATCACACTTATATAGAAGCGCTTGTTGTAATTGTCCCTGTATTGTTCGATGTGGATCACGAGTGACTGGTGAATGAAAATCATTGATATTTGTAAGTAGTAATTGCGCCTAAGAGGGGTGTGTGGGTTGTGAATTAGAATCTTCCAAAATTATTAGCAATCTTGTTAAAGTTTCTTGGTTCTTTTTCTTGGTTGTTAAGTTATTGACGGAAAGTAAAGGCAGAAAGAAAAAGACACAGGAAATTATAGTGGTTCCCTTCACACTTCGAAGGTACTCCACTAACCTTTCGACTCGAAAGAGTATTTCACTATAGTTCATAATTTTTGTAAAGCCTAATCACATCCAAAGTGATGCTTACTATCTAAACCTATAGGTAATCAAAGTGTTGAAGAACAATCCTCTTCAATACACTTCACTTGTTTCCAACAGTCCTGGATAACAAGGTAATATATAAAATGTTCTTGATAAAGTAATTGATGGAAAGTTGTTTATCAATCTTCAAGGTTGATCTTCTTCTCGAAACAAATTATACTCAGATAAGATATACAAGTGTTCTTTGTGAAAGAAGGCTGTGAGAGTGTGAAAATTATTTCAATGGCTTCTTTCAAAATATGATTTGAACACTTAATGAAAATTCAAAAGGTTGAAGACAAAGAGTAATTTGATTAATTTGTTTCTAGAAGGTTGTTTTTTATTTTGAAATAGAAATCAATTTATACTGGTGAAAAACCTTTCCAAAAAGGTGTGATCTTGGGACAACAAAAATAGCAAGTAAGAAAATATAGAACAATGCAATCCTCCATGAAAAACTATTATTTTTTGTTGTTGTTACAGTGTTAATCGGTTAACTAAATAGGTTAATCGGTTAACACCTTTCCAACGTTTAAAAATATTTGAAATTTTCATGTGTTAATCGGTTAACCCATATGGTTAATCGGTTAACACTGTTATGAAGTCCCAAAATACATAATTTTAGATTGTGTTAATCGGCTAACCCATATGGTTAATCGGTTAACACTGAAGGTTTTTGTAAAAATACTTAATTTTAAATAGGAAGAGTATTTTAAAAATATTTTGAAAGTATTAGTGTAAGTGGTATAGTGAAATGTGATTTTTAAAGAACACTTGTATAAGTTTCCTAAAGTAAAAAATGTTTATACCGTTCTTTGAATCACCATTTTCACTTGTAGCTTGTAGACGAAGCTTTGATCGATAAAGTTGTATGCGATGATACTCTCTTGATCTTTGTTGATATTGTTTGCTTGCTTGCGTCTCTTGCTTTTTGCGAAGACTTCAGAAGAAAGGTGCTTCTGGTTGAATCTTCAATATATACCCCTACGGGTGTATAGTATAAGCATCTTCAGTATATATACCCCCACGGGTATATAGCATAAGTATCTTGCGTACCAAGCTTGTATGAGTTGTCTTTATCAAAACACAAAGGCCTTGAAGCTTGCTTCTACAATCTCCCCCTTTTTGATGATGACAACCGATCCTTTGAAAATTCTGTTTTGATACTTGGTTCTCTTCATTTCTCCCCCTAAGTTAGAGAGCTCCCCCCAAATACAAGAGAGATACAATATTTCTGCACAGGGAAATGTTAGAGACCAATCCTTCTCCCCCTTTGTCATTAGCAAAAAGGAAGAGGAGCAAGAATAGTGAAATTTAAAACAAACATACACAGTAAACACATAATCACAAACACTTAACCCATAAAAACATATCTTGATTGAACGATACAAAAAAAAATAAACATTGTACGATTACAAAGACGAATGCGAAACTTAAAATTTAAACTTAAACATAAACTAGAAAGCAATAATAATAAAAAACAGAAGCAAGTGTTTTTCAAATATCATCATCTGCCATTTCCTCATCGTCATCTTCTTCCTCTTCACTATCATCCTCATCTTCATTCTCATCTTCATTGTAACCGGTGTTGGAGTTTTGAGAGTTGAGCACAAGATTACGGAGGGAATTAATTGCCCGAGAGGTTTCTTGATGGAGGTTCATGGTTTCTCTATGTTGATCCATCATGGTGATGTAGAGAAACTCATTGGTGATGCCTCCTTCCGGAATGGTATAGGAAATGTTTGAAGCGGAAGATCCTTCGTCGGTGTATTTGTAAGTTCCGTCGGTATCTTTGACAATGCCGGTATTCTTCACAATTGTAATCTCATCGATTTCATTTGAAGTTGGTTTCAAGGTGATTGCAGGTTCGCAGTTTAAGTCCAAATCTGTTAACTCGAGGATTCTTGAAATTAGTCGGGCATATGGAAGCCGAGTTGACAGGGTTAGTTGTTGCTGGAGATGGTACATCATAGTGAGAATCCAATTGACCTTAATCTTGTTTTTGATTGCAAACATCAACTGCATCTCCAAATCATTTATCTGAGAATGATTTGAGTCCTTCGGAATCAGCACGTAGCAGATAATGTAGTGCAACATGCGGTCATTGACGGTGAGATTCTTCACATAACACAACGTGCGAGCAGTCCGTTGACCCGCAATAACAGTTTCTCTTGGGAATCTGCAGATACGATAATAGTATTCCATCTTATCATAGTTCGCCCACGGACCATCCACATGGTTGACCCGTTTTCTGAGAAAAGCTCTTTTGAATGGAATTTTTAAGGTTGTAGAAATGTCTGCGAGATTTTCATTCAACTCACAGTCCCGAACAGAAGTTTCCAACATATGTTTATCATCAACATTCAAATAAATTGACAGCTTATTCATAAAATATTTGACTAAATCAGGGTAGCATTTTCCGTTATCAGCAACAAAACTATCAATCCTTTGATATTTCAATAATGCCGGAAAATCAAAAGAGGGTTCTGGAAAAGCTCTGAGATTAACGTATTTTACCGGAAAAAGTTGACGAACCTGGACTTTGAAATCCATTCTGCGCTTCTTTGTTGATTCCATTGGAGCAAGGTCTTCATCAATTGCAGAACTGCTTTTCGGTAGCTTGCCTTTTCCTTTGTTGTTGGAAGCCATTGAGGGTTTGAAAGTTTCTGATGGTTGGGGATTCTTCTGGAGTTTTAGGGTTTGTGTTTGAGATGAAGAGGGTAAATTGGGAGAGGTTTATATATAGAGAGGTTTTAGTGGGTATTTAAGTTAGGGTTATGATTAGGTAGAAGATGGAAGAGTGTAATTACTTTGAGTCAACAAGAAGAAGATGTTTCCAAGGATAGTGATTGAGATATTTAAAATACACATGCATCACACATAATAGGCACTTAAAACACATTTAACCAAAATTAACCAATTTTTCGTTTCTGATTTTTGAAAAAATTAACAGTGTTAATCGGTTAAGACATTAAAAAATTTAATTTTTAAAATAAAAGGTAACAATGTTAATCGGTTAACACATTAAAAAATTAAATCAGAGTTGAAAAACTAACGGTGTTAATCGATTAACCCTGGGGGTTAATCGGTTAACACATGCGAAATTTCAGAAAAATGCTTAAAAACAGAGAGTAAACAGATTAGAAAACATATATTCTACATACAATAACATATGAAAAATTTTAGATGTCACCTTCATCGAGAATTCTGAGTTCTTGCTGAATCTTGAAAAAAGGTTCTTTTGCAAGTGGCTTCGTGAATATGTCGCGAGTTGGTTATGCGTATCCACAAAGGTCACTTCGACATCTCCTTTAAGCATGTGATCGTGGAGGAAATGATGCCGAATGTCGATGTGTTTGGTTCTTGAGTGCATGACCGAATTTTTTGTGATGTTAATCGCACTTGTGTTGTCGCACCGGAGAGGAATACATCCAAGATCAATTCCGTAGTTGCTTAATTGTTGCTTCAGCCAAAGGTTTTGTGCACAACAACTTCCCGCTGCTATATATTCTGCTTCAGCCGTACTAAGAGCAACACATGCTTGTTTCTTACATGACCACGAAACCAATGCATTTCCAAGGATGTGACAGGTTCCACTTGTACTTTTTCGATCAGTTTTATATCCTGCATAATCCGCGTCAGAATAACCAATTAATGTACAAACACTACCTTTCGGATACCATAGGCTGCCGTTCGAAGTTCCCTTGAGATATTTCATGATCCTTTTAACAGCTGTGAGATGTGACTCCTTTGGATTTGCTTGGAAGC